TTCATGAACATGTGAGGCATGATTAGGTGTAGAGTGTATAGGGGTGCTGTTCATGAAAACTTCTGGACCGACATGCACAACTTTGAATTTAGGACAATCTTTGACAATATTCCGACATTCCCACTGGTTGAATGATTTATTTTTGGTTTTGGCACCATACCAAACTTGTGCTTGAAGTTGCTACACAATGCGGGATAAGAAATAATTATAATGAAAGTAGGTAACAAATAAATAATACAAACAAATAATTATAATGTAAATTTGGGTATAGTACAAACAAATCAATAATATATTGTTACCTGATCCGTGTAATTTTCCCCACTTCGAATATTAGTACTAGCTTGTGTCAAGGTGTCTCTCCACGTACTAAACGATTGGCTAAGTAATTTCCAACGACTGAACATCGATTCTTTGGTTCTTTTCCCACCCATTTTCTCAAGATAATTGGTATGAATAAGACTCCACATTTCTCGCAACTGCATCTCATTACCCGTAGCGAACTATGAGTAACTTCAACCCAGCTAGTACACAACGCAACATCTTCAAGAAGCGTCTAATTCGTACATGCATCAGTAGTCATTTTATTGAAAAAAATTGGATTGAAACTTTGAGAGAAAGATAGGAATGTGGTTGAAAGTAGTTGAGAAAATATGAAATTATGGTGTAAGGTAGATGATAATGAAAAAGTATTTACAGAAAAGTAAAAACAATTTTTTTTTTAATTTTTCAAATTTTTTTATTCAACTAATTAATCTCTGTTGTTGAATTTAAAAAAAAATGAATTCCAACACTCCAGATTGTGCCACGTGGCACAACGGTAACATTTCTGAATTTTAAAACTATGTTTTCTTTTTTATTTATTTATAAAGGAGAATAATATCAACCGTTGATCTCAGATCGAACGGTTGATATTAAATAATATTTTTTTAATTTTTTTTACTGTTGCAAATCGGACGGTCCACATTATATAGCCGTTAAGATCCAACGGACCATGGAAAGCCACGTGGCTACCCAACGGTAACTTTTTGAAACTGCACCTCGGGCCCCAAGCGCTGAAACCATGTCGGGTGACGCGCCTTCACGCGCGGGTGAGGTGCACAGGCCTAACAGAAAAAAAAAAAAATTGGGCTGACGCCTGGATGACGTCAGCCCTGCGTCTGATCCACTTCGGGCTCGCGGGCTGGCAATTCCTCACAGCCCTGGTGCTCGGGCCTCCACTGTCCCTCGAGCTCCCCACGCTGGAGTGTGTAGGCTAGGCTCTAGGGCCCTTTTTCCTGGCCTGTCCCCAGGGCAAACTCCTGCGCTGGAGTTGCTCTAAGGGAAATGAGAGAGAGGGCTAGGTGAGGGAACCGGTCAAGGTAAAAGAAATCTCACAAGTAATTATTTTGTATTATTTTATAAAATAAAAAATACTAATATTTTATTGTCAATTGTCAGGGCTATTCAGTGTAGGGATAGAGATGCAAAAGGCGGTTACTGTTCACTAGTATGAATAACCTATGGGGCCTTAGACACGATGGAACGACTCTTAGACTACCACTGTGTTGACCTAAACAATTGGGCCATGGTTGTGAGCTTCCTTTTCACTGGCGATCCAGCTATGTGGTTCAAATGGTACGGTCGAGTTTGGTATATGGGCCTTATTTACTAAATGCATTTTGCAATGTTTTGGGCCAGACAACCAATTAAACTCAACACTTCTTTTTCTTATGTCTCTCAAAAATGCTCTCTCGAGGCCTACTTTAATGAATTCATTCGTTTATCTTGTCGAGCACAAGGTTGGAACGATGAGTAATTGCTAGGGGTATTCCTTGGTAGGCTAAAACTGGAGCTCTAGGATGATATTTTGCCCAAGGTCTTCGTTTCTTGGCCCGTGCCTTTGAACCTGCACGCATATATGACAATAAACAACTAAGTCGTAGTGTTTTTCGCCCTTACCCTCCTTACCCATTTCGTACACATGTTGCATCATCGCACCCCGCTTTTGTCCCACCTTCTAAACCGGTTCTCTCCTCGTCAGCTAGACCACTTGTGCACCTCTCTACGGCAGAGATCCGTGAACGTCGTTCCCATGGCCAATATTCTATATTTTCTTGAGAAGTACTTTTAGGCCAGACTTGTGCAACCCCAATATGTTATTATTGGATGCTGCAACTGTCTCCGAAGTAGCCACCAACCCAAATCCTAACGATATTCCGCCGGTGCCTGATGAGCCTCTGGTGGACGATATTGTCCCAATCACTTTCAACGACCTTGCCTCTCCTAAACGCACGCGAGGTTGTGTTATGTGCCTTGTTGGTTACATTGGCGACCTGCCTATTTAAGTCTTTGTGGATTCCGGCGTAGACCTTAATTTTCTCAACCCCTCGGTTGCAACTTGACTCGGCCGCCACATATGCGCCTACTATCTGTCATGAGTTGCGATTTGGTTCTTGGAGCAGAATGGTTAGAAACCTTGGGTTTCATTGGCTTGCACTTAAAGAACAAGGTGATGGAATTCCAAATAGATGGCCATAAATATTGCTTGGTTGGACTCCATTCATCTGATTCTCCAACCATCTTAACTTCGATATTTTCCACCTTTTTTGTTGGATATTAGTTCCTTGCTAGCATCTATATTGAGTGCTAGTTCAATTCCTGATATTGTCCACCTACTATTCAGCCACTTGAATCCCTTATGGACAACAATTCTGATCTTTTTACCACTTCAACATTCCTTCCTCCAAAATGGGCAATCAACCGTAGAATTACCTTGTTGTCAGACACTCAACCGATGAATGTTCAGCCTTATTGTTGCACCCATGTTTAGAAGACAAAAATCGAAAGACAGGTTGCCGAAGTAGAGTTAGACGTGAGTCCTTTCAGCTTATCCTCAGAATAACATCTGATGTTTACTATATTGATCTTTTACGGCTTGATTTGGTACATATGTTCCGAGATCATGTATCTTCTTTGACTCTTATTATGTGAACGAGATTCTTTCTGTTCTCATAGACCCGCTGAGGTCAACTTTTTTACCTTATCCTCTGTGGCATAGATGGAGCATGAACCCAGTTGAATTGATTGCATCTACCGCATTACGATTTTCAAAGCCTTACCAATAGTACTTGCTGATACCTCATGAATATGTTGAACTTGATCTGCATCTCTATTTAACGTATAGGTGACTTTTTGTTGCATCAGGACTCCGTTGTTATCGCATCTCTATGAGAGGGGCTGGCGTCAAAGCTTTACTGGATTGATTGGTCTTCCTGGCCCGGAGAAAGAGGTAAGATGATCACTCATCAGTTCTTTTATTCCACATTTTCTCATCTCAAGGGCTTATCAAATGTCTTTTCTAAATTTCAAAGTACAGTATTTGATAGGTTGCGTTGTAACTCATACAATCCTTAGAAAGTAGGGAGGTGTGTCAGCGAACAATATTTCTTATAATATTGGAGTTTGGACGTTTCATGGGAACCATATTATTCCATTTTGCTTGCGTTACGTATGAATTATGAAGTGAAAACCAGTTTTCTAGAAAAGTATTTTATATGGGGCCTAAGATGAATTATGAAGTGAAAACCAGTTTTCTAGAAAAGTATTTTATATGGGGCCTAAGTAGAATAAAATTTTTACTTAAAATGTGAAGCTCCACCTCCTATGACCGTCAATTAAATTTTTTTTTTTTTTTTTTTTCCGAAAAAAAAGAAGGGGAGAAAAAGTCCTCTTCTGATCACGGCATTAAAAAATAGATAGATAATTTATGTTGCTGCCAAATATGCAATATGGTTGTTTGAAATACTAAAAACAGTCATATTTTACCTGTGTATTTGATTTGTCTTGCTAAGGAGGTTGTTGAGTTGTTAACCACGGCATAGTTTTAACTGCAGTTTGAGTGGACTAAAAATTTCTTGAAGCCTGTCTTGGGTGGTGGAAATATCATTGATGCAAGTTGTGGGAGTGGGTTGTTTTCTCTTGTTGTTGCTTTGGACTACTCATAGAACATGTTGAAGGAATGCTATGGATTCATTCAGCAGGAGGAGAACTTCCCCAAAAGAGTACAGAACCTTGATGTTTTCATGCAAATTTAGATGATAAAAGCTGCTAAAAGTTTCAAATCGTATTTGGTGCTATCTCCTTATGGATCTTTCCGAAGTTTTGTTATCAATCGTAAAATACCTGATTACGTTTGTTTTTTTTGTTAGGAACATAATTCTGGTCAAAGCTGATATATCTAGGCTTCCTTTTGCTACAAGTTCTGTTGATGCTGTGCATGCTGGTGCCGCCCTACATTGTTGGCCTTCACCATCAGCAGCTGTAAGTACTTAATTATATATGGTGTTAGAGCTAACTGCTCTGCTTGTTCTAGCTACCTGTAAGGGGTACTAAATCTTATCGTAACAGACAGTGGTGTAAGTATTTACATGTCCTTGATAATAATTAATTTGTCTACAACAAGTTAATGTACATTTTCCATTTCTCGGTTTTTAGTTTTTAACTAGTATTTTCTCTGGATAATTGTGGTTTTGAAGGTTGCTGAAATTAGTCGAGTCCTGCGACCTGGTGGGGTGTTCGTTGCATCTACTTACATACTGGACGGGCGTTTTTCGCACATCCCATTTCTAAGGAACATAACACAGGTACATCTTTCGTACTCCAAACTTTCATTGCTGCAGTTCTGGGATTCTGCTGAATGTGCCCCATGTAGCCGATGATTTGGTATTATAATTTCTATTTCATCTCACCGGTTTTCGATTCGATTTTACCCTCTTTTTTTTTTTTTTTTTTGTTTGGTAGGTAACAAAGTAAATATCGGGCAGCCAAGTCTTCACATCAGAAAGTGAATTCGAAGATCTCTGCCAAGCATGTGGGCTAGTTGGTTTTACAAAAGTGAGGTATGGGCTTTTTGTGATGATCTCTGCCACAAAACCCACTTAATTAATTATTCTTGTGCCACAAGCAATCTCCTATGTAAAGAAACATTAATATGTCATGATGTTAGGAATGAAACCAAAATATATCATCAAAATTTGGATAATATGATTCACTATAAATGATTGTGTTTCATCTCATTATCGATTTGTTACATCTCGTACGCAAAATTGACGGTCGTACGACCGTTTTATCCAAATGTTTCTCTCGAGAAAGCATGTGGTTACAATGGCAAGAAAACCAGCAAAGAAAGCGAGAACTCTTCTGTTGGCAAGCTCAAGCAGTTGGTTTGTATGGAAGTTGCCTTTCTCTAGCTCGTTTTCTGGCAGGAGGTCAAAACAGGACGGATAAAATTCTTACGTACATGTATGGTATTTGGATGTGCTTGAATAGAGCTGGAATGTTCAGTGAAATTCTGGTAAGATTACAGCGGGCTCAAATTGGCAAACGTTAACTGGCGGTATAGCAGTGTCTGTTCATCATCATCGGTGTCAGCATCAAGAGTGTCCTCACCTTCATACTCTACTTCAATGACAGTTCTATCATTCACATACAGCTCTTCTGATTCAGGAAACCGAGCACGTGAATATTCTCCTCCGGTAGGCGAATCTTCTAATTCTATTTGTTGCATCTCTGATTCTATTAAAACTTCCATCCGTGCACGCTCCCTGTCTCTTGGGTAGGTGCAATATAGGAATGAGTAAATGACACAACAGAGAGCCATTGGAATTCCTATTGCTGTATATAGTGCTTTTGCCAATGACAAAGCGTTCCCCCTATCCGTGGCAATCTCTTCAGATGCACTGGACCCTTGAGGAACTGGTTTATAACCATAAACGCGTTGAGCCAATATCCCAACTACTGGAGGAGTGAACGATGAAAGTATGGACTCGAAAGATCTGTCCAAAGCATATATTTGTTCGGGATCTCTCAGGAACTATCTCTGCAAAAATCGGACTACATAGACCATGCCATCCGTTAGTGTTTTTGCTTTACTTTCCATAAAAACGCAAGGAAATTAAAGACAGACAGAACTACGAAGTTTTAAGGCTTACTTGTTTGTAGCTGGAGCATTCCATGAAATTAAGAATCCCATGATGAACAAGATGAAACCATGGATGACAAGCGTAGATGGATCCGCAGGTAATGCAAGCAGAAGAATTGCTGCAAGAGGGATGGCAGATGTGGAGCTTATCTGTGCTAATATAATCCTTCCTGCATTTGGAAGACGCATGGAAAGGATATCTCCCATTTTACCTCCAAAGAAGCCACCAAGGCAACTTCCAATCACAAACAAGGCGATGAGGAAAGCGGATTTCCCATGAGAGAAGCCAGTAAGTTCCAACCACATGGGCGCAAATGACAATGCTGACCAAGGAAATGAACCAGTAACACCCTGCGCCACAACGATCTGAAAGGAAGGAATTTTAATAACCGACATAGCTTCTAGGGCTAGTTCCTTCACGTGTGACCACAAGGAACTACTAGAATTCTGGCTGCTATCTTTTGTTTCACAATCTGGAAAATGTGGGTCAGTGGCGTACAGACGGACTAAAACACCGACTACAACACTAATAACCAACAAGGTGAAAGGAAATTCTCCACCCAGGGATTCCCACGACTGTTATTGGAGCTATCAATATAGAACAAAGGCCACCAATTATCGAACCAACATTGCCCGTTAGTTGAAGCCATCTGAAAGCCATACCTCGGTTGTTGTCATCAGTTGAGTCAGCTACAAGGGACTGGATAGACGGAGTAACTAGAGCAAGGCCAATCCCATTCAAAGCTCTGGATATAGCCACCTCATCAATAAAAGCTGAATGACTTCAAAGTGAATAAAACAAGCTGGAATCAAGCTAAACATAATGATACTTCTCTCCTTTTGGTTTGATAACTTTAGTTATCAGTTATAACCCCCTTTTGAATCAATTATAAAACAAACACTTCACCTTTTTATTTTATGCTCGATTTCTCATGCACGATCTTTTTGGTTCTTTACTGATTTGATAAGTAACGTATTAGAGACGTGATACAAGTGAAACTGTCAAACTCTGTTATGCATGACAGTAAGGAAGTAAAAGTTTAGGTATCATTTTAACGAAAAAAGAAGTTAAAGGAAGCGGAAAACATCCGTTTTTTGGCCAGTTTGGGATTGCCGTGCCTTTTGAATAAATTGCTTTTGCTGTGCTTTAAGAATAATCAATTGCAAAATAAAGGCAATTGAGCGTTCGATAAACTGTATTTTTAAAAGTGCTATAAGTATGAAAAGCAGTGTAAAAGCATTGTCTAGAAGGATAAAAAATGTCATTGTTTAAAATAAAGGAGCCTATTATAGGAATTAAAAGGGGAACTGTTATTAGCACTCCAAAAATCTCATTCTAAACTCCTCACAAGTGCATTTTACTTTCCAATTATAGAACGATTGGAGTGCAAAATGAATATTTGGAGTGCCAATAACAATTCCCACTAAATATATTCTAAATGCTCAACTCCGCTTTTTATTAAAGCAGCTTTTAAAATCAACCTAAAGACTACTTTTAAAAGCTGCTATCTGGAGGCCATTGCTTTTAAAATAAGCAGTATATTTTATTTTTACAAACATTTTTTTACTGCTTAACTTTAAAGTGAAACATTGTTTGGTGAAAAAAATGCAATACCAAACTGGGCCTTAATCTTTCAAAAACTTTACTTTTTTTTTGAGAAGACTTTCAGAAACTTTACAGATGAATCCACTTTTATCATGTCCAGAGTCTAGTATATCCAAATCTGAACCCAAGAATTCAGCTTCCACCAAATTTCAAGCTCCTCGTGTTCTCAACTTATATGTTCATTTTTATAAGGCTTTCACTGTTTCACAAGAAACAATTTTTGATTCCACATCTATATATTTGAGTTACTCAGAGAACACAAGCATTGCATCTGAGTTCAACTACTGAAACCATCCCTATATACTCAGAGAACACATGCATTGCATCCGAGTTCAACTATTAAAACCATAATTTCCGTGAAGACTGCAATCACCAAATCTAACTATCTCTGCTAGAACAGTCATATGTGTCCGTTACGTGAAATTTATTCACCACAACTACTCAGTTTTTCTCAAACAAGATTTTATAAAACCTACTTGCATAGCTAATGCAGACCGTTCATTCAGCTAGAAATCAAAGCAACAAGAAAACGCGATACTTCAATTTCTTTTCTTCGACTCCCTTAAGCTTTTCGAGCAGTTCTTCATTCATGACTAGCATAAAAAGATACTAGAAGTTGACACAAAACATCCCCAAATCTTTTCTCCAGGTTAGGTTATTCGATCAGACTAGAATTTCAAACATTTACCTACTCTCCAGACTATTTTCAAAATTCGAAAAGAAAAATCCACTAGTAGTCTATTACTATAGATAGCAATCTAAGTAGAATCTTCAACAATCAAATCAAACCACCATTTCTGGCAAACCAAATTGACAACTTCACAAATTGAAATCACAATCAGCAAATACAACCTATTAATGCCACTAACTTTCTGTTTGGCAACCGAGAAAATTTCAGAAACGAAACAAAACCCTAGACGACGAATACCAAATAGAACCAACTCAATCAAAATTTAATTACCTCGGTGAAAGTGGAGGAAAAAGCGACGAGAAAAGTAGCGGTGGCCCAGAGAAAGGCGCCGAGGGCGATGACGTGGGCCCGGTTGTGGCGCACGGCCAGGTACGCCGCAATTGGGTAGCAAGCGGACTGCACAATGGACCGGAAGAGAGTGAGAGACCCCAGCCCGGTCGGGTCGGTGTGGAGAGCGGCGCCGACCTCCTTGTACACGCCGGGGAGCAACGACTCGTCGGCTCGCTCCATGATCCCGGCCAAGTTGACCAGCACCAGAGTCAAAGCCTCCGCCTTCATTTTCCGATTTAGTCTTTTGGATTTTTGGGTAATTTAATTTTCTGGGATTCGGAAATAAATTCGCAGAGATTCAGAGAGTAATTGTGAGAATTGAAATTGGAGTTTTGCATTTCGGAGTTTAGCGAGAAGTGGGGAAGACTGACCGACGAGTCTACGGCGTGACTTCGGGGGAAGAGGGTGAGTGACACGTGGCAGGTTTAAGGTGGCATTGGGATTTTGCCAGCTGGCAAACGCCGTGTCTGCCGCTCTTTGGCGGGCTTCAGCTGTGAAATTTGTACCCTTTTGAATTTGGGATATGCGATTATGCGTTTCTTATTTCTCGTTTTGTTTAGACTTCATTTTTTGCCCTTTTACAATTGTTTTAACACGACTGAAAATGTTTTTAATGATAATATTTTTTAAATCAATTCTTAATAAAAAAAAGTAGATTTTGAAAAAATATTTAAAATATTTCCTACAAAAAGCACATATTTCTTCTAGAAAATATTTAAAATGTTTTTGAATCTCAAAATCAATTTCATTAAAAACACTTTCAGTAATTTTAAAAATACTTTCAAACGAGCTTTTTGTAATCTTAAATTTTCTGGACATTGTGTGTAGGCCAATTAGGTTAGAATGGGCTTTGGTTTTAAGAAAATGGATCATCTCCAAATCTCTTCCATCAAATTCATCCAATCATCTAATCCGAACCTTTAAAATTTGATTAAACGGCTAAAGTTATTATAACTTTTTCCTTGTTTGTAGCCGTTAGATCAAATTTCAAGAGTCCGGATTGATTGATTATGTGGATTTAACGGAGGGATCCGGAGATGATTCCTTTCTTGATTTTAATAGATGGGTGACAATTCTTTGGGTTTCCCGACCAATAAAAAGGGCACAAAATGATGCTTTTTTTTATTTTATTTTTATAATTATTATTTTAATTATTTTTTTATTTTTATCCTACAACGATGTTGATTGCTATAATGTATACTTTCTGGACCACTTCAAGACAGATCGATCTTAAGATTATTATTAAGGGATTTATAACATGTATAATGACCAATTGTACCTATATAAACGCTACTAATATTCCAAACTATGAAATACATTTACAAATCCTTCGGATCTTTCATCCACGTGAGGTTTAACATGCATACTCACTCTCAACCTTGATCTTGAATCACACTAATCGCACACTAATTGCACATGCCTGCAACCCCAACCTTGATCTTGAAGGCATTAACAGTTATTGTTCGGGTTAGATCTATCCCTCGCACAACTTTTCTGGATCTTGCATGTCAGGCAAGGTTTGCTACTTGGTGTATTGCAATATGAGTTTGTTATTAGTTTGAATGGTGCCTTTGTTAGGCCTTGAGGCTCACAATCAAAACTAATATGGGTCTGAGCGTGCCACCGTTATCTTTGTATAACAGATTGTTCTTTCTTGGTTATTAAATGGATTGATTATCTGCACCACAAGTTATTTAGACTTATTGGTTCGATTGGATTGCTTACAGATGAGTTAAGTTTGTATAAAGTTATTTTTCTTGCCTTGTAAACAAGGACTTTTACTCATAATATCATATGCCCAATTAAAAGGAGTTCAGGGCCCTTCATATTATTTCTTTGGTTACGGTTAACACTAAATAAACAAGGTTAATTATTTTAACAAGATTAATCATAGATGAAACTTTGAACGAAAAGCAGTCTAAAATGATGTAAGATACAATGAAAGATGCATAAAACAACATATCTACTTTATGTAAGTACAAACAAAAAAGACTCGGGCAAGATTATGACCTTGTCAGGCAAGGTTCGTCTTCTTACAACCACTTCTTTTTGTGTTTTACAAGGATTGTAATCTTTGGAGAATGAAATATAAATCGGGTTTACTAGAGAGATTCGATACTACAACATAGGGGAAAGGTAGCAGAGCTTCTAAAACTTGACAAAAGATGGCTTTCTATGGTGGACTTGTGACTAAAAGGATAAATTTTGGACAAACTAAAGCTTTTTGGTTTCTTGCTTGCTGGAGTGCAAAGTTGGATGTCTTTTGATTGATTGGTTGAGTGTCTTTCTTCCTTGTGTCCTTTACTGCTTTTATAGACTCTCTAGCCCGACTGTCTAAGCCTCCCCTTTTGGTGATGGCCTTAGAGTATGGTGAGTCACCGTTTATTTACCTATCCATGCCCTTGAAAAATATTTTTTGTGAGGGGGTGAGCTGCCCTTTGAGTGTCACTTCTCATATAAGCTTGTTGCCTATTCCTTGGCAAAAATGATTTTTAATTTATTCTTAGGTTGTCGACTTGTCTGAGCCCAATCCTTCTTCTACTTTTTGCAGTTCTTGGGCCTCCAATCACACTAAGCCCAACATTAAACATCCACTCCAACGGTTATAAAAGTAGAACCTTGTATTAATTCTTTATTAGCAAACAAGAGGGCATCTTACATGCTAAAAGAGAAGGGGGGGGGGGGGCAGAGAAGTGAACTAAATGGCCAACAACTTACCTCCATGACCAAACGATATCAGAGTATTCTCGCTACACGCTCATACAGAGTTATTTTTTCTCTTCTTTTCCACATTTGTGCATGCATAAAAACATTTTCACTTCAAAAACACTTCGTATGTGTTCTACATGCATTGGTTTATATGTCCAAAATTTCTTATATTCAGGCAGTGATAAAATTAATTTTCATATTTTCATGAGATTGACAAACTATTTGAGAAAAGATAGTAAATACAAATTATATTGCAGAAAGATTCCACACAGTAATTGCACCTTTGCATTATAAGACACTACTCTTGTTAATTCCAAGAGATACAGACACAATTACGAAATTAATTTGAGATCTCCTTCTACATTGCTTTGGCATTTAACGTTTTTTATTGCACTGCTTTCATCCTTTTTTATTGCACACACAAATGCAACCACGGTAGAGCAAACAAAATCACACAAAATGAAAAAATAATATAATAATCACAATTTCAGAATTATTAGGTCAAGTATGTTGGAACTTGTGTTTTATGTGGGACTTGGAGTCCCACATCGCCCAAACCTTTAGTGAATATCACCTTTATAAACGAGTGAACTCATTTATAGTTTGAAATGAATTGGGCCAAACCCATGGGCCTTGGGCCTTAGACTTGGAGGGTTTGGGTGTATATATTAAATGTCAAAGATGGGCCTTGGGCCCGGATGGACGAAAAACACAAGTTACGTTTTTTATTTTTTTGGATTCAGTTTTTTCGAAAAGGATAAAACTGATTGAACAGTTACGTTCAGTTACATTCGGTTTTTTTTTTTTTAAAAACTGATAAGCATGAACGGTTGTATTTGTTCAAATTATGCCATTATATATATGGCAATAAAATCAGAAACTGTATCATCAATTTCATTTTCCTTCCTCCATATTTCACAGAGAAACGCTCAATCAATTCGCTAAGAATCCAAGTTCGTGTGCAAGAACTTGGATTAGATAGTTGTATCCTGCAAGATAGACGTCCATTTGAACTACTGCACTGGTGTAGGGGCGTATTTCTGTCTTAGGAGATTGCTACTGCAAGCTTTTATCTTCCTAACTAAGTCAGTTTTTGTGTTTATTAATTCAATTTTATTAATTGTTATATTGTAAGATATAATATATATATATATAGTATTGTATCCTTGTGAAATTTCTATTCGAAATAAACTGTGCAATTGTTGTATAATATATACTTAACATTTGATTGGTTCTAACAAAGTAACTATACACTTTTATGCATTCTTTATATAATCGTTTTAACAAACAATTAACTCAGCCGTACTGCATCGTGATGAACAAAAGAATGAGAAAAGAAATGAATGCTGTAATAAATATCCCGTTGAAATTAATAGCCAGTTTTGTTGATATTTTGACGAAAAGCAAATAATGTGACAGAGAAGGTACCAATTTTTGACGAGCAAATTGGACAAGGGGTCCCAGATGCAGTCAATACATTGTTTTTCACAATAATAAAACATTTCATAGGAACAACTAGTAATGTCACCTCCAGGATCCATGATCAACTCAGCAATCTGAGATGTCCAACTGGGACCCAGAGATAAGATAAACTGTAAATGGAAAGACTGAAATATGAACCTGACTTGCAGATTACAAAGATGCTAATGCAATTACCACTCACTTGGCTCTGATACCAAATGGGGACGGAAGCTTACCATCTATTGACGATTATAAGAATGAGGACAGCAATCAAGACTATAGTCATTATCATGTATGGGAGTGCAAATATCATGCCAATAATGATATATGCAAAGGAAGAATTGAACAAATGATTGATCAGTATTTACCTTGACTTGAGATACTTAATGAATTGACTGGGAGATAAACATAAATGCCAATTAAAATCAGTGGTGATGAAAATATTTTTCATAATGAGAATAATGAATTAAAATTAATGATGCAGATAGATGTTTAAAATACTTTTATTGATTTGGAAACCAACTTACAATTTCGTCTACTGACGATTGATAAGAAAACAGATGGTGCTTGCAGGCATCCTTGATTGAAAATTAAATACAAGTGTTTGATATTTGATATTGGGATAGAGCTAAATCACTTATGTTCTGAGGAATCCGTAGAAGTTCTAGCTCTTGGCGACTAAAGTCCGTTTGCTCTAAGAATGAACTCCTCTTTTATCTTACTGAGAGGAATGATTGAGGTTGGGATGTTTGAGTCTAGGATTCTCGCTTGCATGTGCTGCTAGCTGTTAAAGGCTGGCAAATGATGAAACTTTCACTGTGGATTCACGCATTCTGATTTCGAATTGATGGATGAATAGTAAAAAATGATTTTACTATTCATGAATAGTGTCTTGTCTGTTGCTACTGTTGATGAATAGTTCCTTGTTGGAATGATTGCTGCTATTGCTGATCACATGGCTGGAACTGTACGATTTACATGGGTAAAACCCTTCAAATGATTACAAATTATTACATTTTGAAAATTCAATTTTAAATGTCAAATGATCTTGAGAGTCTTGATAATCTGCTTGATCTGCCTACTTGGCGGGAACTTTAGATGAAGCATCAGATGAGTTTGAATCAGATTCTTCTTCTTTGAGCAGCAAGGTTGCTTCTGCCATTAGCTTATCTGCCATTTCTTGGAGCTGTGAGGATTTCTCTATCTTCTTTGAACTTGTTTTTTTGGATGATTTGGAGGACTTTGATTTGCTCTTGAGGGAGGATGAAGGACTAATGTCCGATAAAGATTGAGTGT